ATACATACATATTTACATACAGACATACACACACATGCATACATACGTACATACATACATACATGCATACATACATACATACATACATACATACATACATACATACAGGGTGATGGGTTTTCCACGCGCACCTTATCAGACAGGCGACTGCCTCTATCGTGCGCAAAGCAGAAGTTTATCAGCCATATGAGTGCCTTTATCGATCGCGAAAGCTGGCAATCATCAGAGAAAGCCATTTGCTCTGTCGCACACGTGCGTCAGTCAAGGCAACTCGAAGACTGGAAGATACCGAGAACTCAGACAATGAAACAATGCCGAAAGCATTTCCTTAGCCCCTGAAAATGCACTGTTTCATGACCCGGACCCTGTCTATTAACATACAAAGCCTAGCTTTTCGTACGGCAAACAAGCCGCTTTTGACTAGCGGACGATCCTCCGGGGCACGGCAGCACACGTAGCTCTATGCATTCTACAGACGCCTGCAAATGCATATCCAGCTCCAAATCTAAACATATGCCTATCCTGCTGTTGACGGGCGGCCCTACACCCTAAACCCTGCTGACCATGGCGCGCTGAAAACTCATGAATTCTATGATAAAGACGGCTCCCTATGCATACGTACATGCATGCATACGTACATACGTGCGTACATTCATACATACATACGTACATACGCACTACATACATATAGCTACATGTGTGTATATTATATATATATACATATATGGATATGCACACATATGCGTATGTCTGGATGTATGTGCGTATGTATGTATGTGTATGGATATTAAACATTAGAAGTGCCAGGCTAGAGGTTAGAGATTTGAGATGGAGATTAGATGATAGTGGGCCAGATATTGGAATCGATCTTTGATGCAAAGTTGGATTCGATATTATGTTAGACTGTAGGACAAAAGATTAGATCAGAGATTAGACTCAACTAGTTAGCTAGGTTAGGTTAGATTAGATGAGCCAACACAAACAGATACAGACACGCACAGATCCGTTCTAGATGGCAGTGCACAAGCCTCTGCTGGCGCACCGAGGCGGACTGGTTGCAGTTGGCACATCTCCTCAAGTTCTTCGAACACGCTCCAAGACCGACCAGAAGGCAATGGCGAATGCGTCCTGAATCTTCGATGACAGGTCGCAGGACGTCGGACGGGCACCTATCTTCAGGGTGCTTGATCGGAGGCCCGCAGGATGGATTCCACTGACCTCGGGGTTGGTGAAGGAGCACGTCTCACGATGAGCACCTTCGGGACGTGGCAGCGAGGCGAGGCTATATGGGCACAGCCCCGCCTCAAAGCCGTGCTCGATGACGTCCACCTCTCCAGAAACAGTTCAAGGCCGACCAGGAAAGCCGAACGGGCGTGCTGGGGTCCAGGCAGAGCTTGCAGAGCGATCATCACCAGGCTGCCTTAGAAGCAAGTTTCCAGTGTGTTAACTTCCATTTGACCAACCTCACCCATAAATCTGTCGCGGCACGCCTGCTGTTCGCATACACTAGTCGCCGAACGCACTGCAAACGCAATCCCTATGCTGGGGCATATGGTACACATGTTTGTACACCGTACGTACAAACGGTGTCCGGTTGTTCGACTCGCTGTTCTCAATTTGTCTGTGAAGTGTGGTCTTTCTTAGACGACAGATGCGTGTTCTTCTGCAGTGTGGCACCCGGACAACTGTACAATACTTCTGCCTCACACAAGTCAAATTCTCGCAAGACAAAAGCTTTAATGGACTCGTTCAGGCACCTCTTACGAAACTTCAATCGTAAGTAGCTGTTGAGTAGCTAGTGCTAACGTCAGGTTGAAACCTTTTAGTGCATAGTGGTATCGGGCTAGTATTCACCTAGTGTTTGTTTGGCATGCGATTGGTGTTCAATATTGGACGTGGCTGTCTATGACTGTCCGACCAGTTGTGCAATGGATTCTTGACTCGGGCTCCGGCGGGTAGAACTTCAATGTCCGCTGACTGGCCGGATTCTCCGCCTGCGCTATAAGCCATTTTCAATGTAGTTACACCGCGAGCTCTGATGGCATTGCACCTGCTTTGGCCGAGATATGTTTGAAGCCTGAGGAAACAGCACAAGCTTGTTCGCGCTCCGTCCAAGCAGGATGTCGTACCTGCGTCGCCTGTGGTAAAGGCTCAGCCTTGCAAGGATTCCAGTCGAATTTCATTTATGGCACTGCCTCAGCACTTTGTGCACACGAGCTGCTCGCTGTTTTAACCGGGGGCTGCCATGCCATAGCTGAACGCTGTGCTGCAAGGTATCTTGCAAACATCTTGTACAAGCATGTGCATGAATTCTGGCACAACTGCGTAGAAGCCTCAAGACCAAAGAAAAACCCTTCAACAAGCCCCCACAAACTTAGAATAACATAAATCGACAGGTTGACGGGGATGCGGGCAGGCAGGCTGGCAAGCAAGCAGGCAAGTAGGTAGCTGTTTACTAACATCACGATGGTGTAGTGTGGGGTAGAACCTCAATTGCTTTGACCGCTGAGAGTACAGAGTTGAGCGTGTGGGGAGTGCTTTCAGCACTGAAAACTTGCGGCCTACACTGCGCCGACTCTCTGCAGGCAGCGATATGATCAGCCAGAGCAGCCGGGTGCACGAAGATTCAGACCCGTGTGTTCCGCGAGGGGATATCCCACAGGAAAATCGCAAGGTCACTGCCACGGCTGCCCAAAGGATCCACCCTGGCAGACCTGGCACCTGACGTTCTCTTCCTAGAAAAACGTCTGGCGCTTCTCCGACAAAGGCTCGATGTTGCCAATGGACTGCAGCTGTGAACCAAAGTCTCTGAGGAAGGCGAGGTCCTCGATTCCCGCACAGGAGAATTGCACCTGCCTTGCATGGCCTTGCATTAGATGTTTCTGAGATGCAGTCGCGGCTCCTTGTCGCGCGGACGTGGCCCGAAGGTCGCGAAGGGAAGGGTGGGCTCATCGAGGAAGCGCCGGAAGGCCGAAGTCCAATCTCCCGGAGTGCAGCGTGTCAGCCCCGCAAAGTGGAGCGAGAGCATCCTGAGCACCGGGGACCCACACTCTCACTCTTACGATAGGCCACAACACTGTAGAAGCCACATACAAGTATCAGCATCTTCTCTTTTCGAGCATCTGCTCGAAGGGCCACCTCTCGGCGACCAAAGCGACAAACTCGCGCAGCTGGGTAGTGTCCCGCTCTCCTCTATTTAGCACAAGAGCCTGAAGAATGGGAGGGACGAGCACTCCGCCACTGATGGCCTCGAAGGCTTCTTGCCAGTCGTCCCGATAGTTCCACGGAAGCAAGCCAGCCCATCCCAACTCAGGCGCCTGAGACTTTTGGGCATCACGGAAAGCTTCCTCCACCGGCTGGACGTCAATGGCACCCGATTGGAAGAAGAGGGAGAAGATCACGATCCGTTGCCAGCCTCGCTGCAGTGCCCTCTCGTCTGTTTCGACCGGTTCCAAAGGACCGTCCCTCGCGTGGAAAAGCAGAGGCCGCGGATCTTCCCTCAGCACCAACGGTGGGTCCCGAGGAATCGAGATCAGCAAGTCCGTGAGAAGCAGCACCCGCAAACGCGGCACATAAAAGGCTGCCTCGCAAAAGGCCCCGGTAGAGGGGTCCTTGCCCACTGGGCCAAAGACCTGAGACACTTGACATCGGCCTAGGAGTGTTCTCTAGTGGGGAAAGGCTCTCTTCGCCATGTCAGCATCAGGAGGACAAAGCTGAGGCCAGGGCACTGTGCTCCAGCTCCTTGCCCCATGGAAGATCGGCTCCAGCACTGTCCCGTGGCAGCTCTCGCACACCGAAGAGGGGAAAGCCCAAGAAGGCTAGCGGCAGTGGTAGAGGAACGGAGTACTGGCCTGGTGCGATCCAAACCTCTGCATCCGGAAGCCGCTGTGCCAAAGGCCCCGCAAAGGTTTTGTGCTCCACGGCTACGGTCGGCAGAACCAAGAAACGGACGGCCCCGTACTTAGACTCGAGCTCGCGGAGCAGCGACAGGCACTCATCGGTTGGGGCAACCGCCCCATAAACCAAGAGTCCACCAGACTCTAAACGCAGGACTGTCATGCGAATGGGGACGTGAACATACAGCAAGCCGAGCTTCTGTTCCAAGCCCCAGAGCTCTCCCGGAATGTACTCTACCAAGAAGGTACGTCGCCTTTCGTAGGGCGCCTTAGATTCGCTGTTGTCCAGAGTGCTTCTCCAGACTGCACACTAACGTAAGGTGGCCCAGCTTTCAGAAGAGAAAGGAGCAGAATATACTCTCCTAAGACGGATGAAGTTCGGCTCAAGGTGCGATGGGCAGGGCTGGCCACAAGTCCCACCTTGCATCTGCCGGCACAGACGGAGGGGAGAGCTGCGGCTGCGGCTCAGCTGCCCTTCGAGCCGTCCGGGAGATGGTAGATCCAGGTGTCTTCCAGTTGCCCACGAAGCTCACTCCACCTACAAACAGCAGGAGCCAAGAAAGCCACCTAGTGGCCATTGCGTGGAGGTTGTTTGCGTGGTGCGCTTTACACTTGCCAGTTAGTTGCGAAGGCTCCAACTCCAGAACTATACTACGTTCCATGTCCGTCATGTGCAGTGGCACATGCAGTTTCATGGGCCCAGTGCCTGTGAGCCACTGAGGGTCAGCCGAACATGCAGCTCAGATGTTGTTTCATCATCTCAGGACGCTCGCACGAGACGCTATGTCCGCTGTGTGATCGAGTCTAGCATTTGCACCACCGAACCTCCATCGGAGAGGAAGTGCCTGCGGAAGTTTGCGACCTGTTGTCGTAAGCTTCCAGCAGAGAGGCCCCAAGGGCATCGAAGGGGCCACCCTCCGACCTTCTGGGTCTCTTGAGCGGCAAGATTGCCTTGTGCATCACCCCGATGTGTTTGGGATGTAGCACGGTCTCTGCGAGCAGACTGAAGGCTGGGCAATGGCTTGAGACTTTGGTAGGTCTGCTGGTCCTGTACGACACAAAACTCGGCATAGCGTACTGTGGGGGGGGCAGAGTTGCTAGCTGCCAGCTTCGCTGGCACCCACCTTCCAAGGCCACGGCCGGCAAGGGCGCCTCAGATTCGGCATCTGTTCAGCCTTCGAACGGTGAGTTAGCCTTCATGAGCCACGGCACCACCCAGGCTGCTGCGGAATGCCCTTACAAAGAGATGGCTCCGGAAGAAATGGCTCAGGTCGCCGGAACACGAACTCGAACTGGGCACCCTGACCATGTCGCGTTGCGGGTGCACGCGAAGGTAACACCTCTGTGTTCAGACTGCAGGAGGCGTCTGCGTGTCACAGGAAGACACAGGCGAGCCATGTCGACCAAGGCATTGTTAAGGCTCCAGCACAGAAGGGCTCCTTAACGTTTCCGCACATTGCACCAAACTGCCACGGGTCAACGATGTCAGGATGCTTGACTCTTGGGGTAGTAAGTATTTGTTCGCGGCAAGCTGGCGGTTTGCTGCACATGCATGCATCGCCTGGAACGGAGGCACCAGAAAGTACTCTGCCCAGCTCCTCTGAGTGGCTGGAAACGCGATATGTAATCTGAGTGAGTGTAGCTTCAACCGGAGCAGTTCGAAACTTGAGGACCCTGCCAGGCGGAGTCTGCCTCAGCGTAAATGGTGAAATCTGCCAGCCGTGGGTGCACGGCATGCATAAGGCAACGAGAGCCCTGCCCTATGGGGCTGCGTGGTAACACCTTCCGGCCTGCTGCACGAAAAGCTCTCCATGCCTTGTCCGCTCGAGGAACACCGGGCTCCCGGCGCTGTTGGCCGCTTGTGCTCATGCTCATCATCAGGTGGATTCTCCTGAACGGACATTGGGGTCACAAGGATCATCATGCTGTCAGCCGACAGTTCACTTGCTGAAACACGATGCATACTGTCATTTTGCTGGCTCCTCCTCGGTATCATCTGATGTCTGCGATGCCTTCAAACAACATCTTCAGACGCGTACAACAGGCCTTGCCGTCGAGGAAACAATGCGGCGGCAAGGGTAAAATGTACTCAACATGCATGACGCGTCATCTAGGAAGGACCTTGACGAAGGGTGCAGTACTTGATACGGACACATGCACCAAGGCGCTTTGGAGCTGGCATCTAGCACCATGCCCGTCTCAGCTTCCGCCTACCCGTCCAGCTCAGCAAGCAGGCTTGCAGTTGGATGTGCAGAAAACATATGAACCACCACCCCACCTCAAGCTTTGCGCTACACGCATGGTAGCGTGTGCGGTGGGAAACGGCATTTTTCTACTTCCATGAAAACGAGCAGCTGCCAGCCAAGTGTTGCCGGTGATACACTTGCAGTTTGCGTTTGGAAGACAGCTAGAATGCACAAATCACGCACCAACTTACTCGGTATTGGTTTCTGACTCTGACTGCACAACAGGACAACCGTCATGCTTCCAGCTCCTTTTCCGAGAGGGATGCCGATGTGTCGATACTTTCTGGCCAGTCGGTATAGCGACGCCGAGCGCGCCAACTCACGCTTTTCGGCATCTGCTTCTGATTCTCGAAGGCCAAGAAGAATTCGATTTTGTGGTGTAATGCTGGAGTCAATGCATCTCATCGATGCTTTGTAACCAGAGCTTTCTTCAATTATCCCGAGGCGGGATATGTCAATCAGCATGTCGTGTGGTATGCCGAGCATTTTTGCAGTGTTCAACATCATCTTGCCCTTGCGACTATCTTCGCCATGGCAGCACGGCATGAGAGCGAAATCCACTTGACTTCGGGTGCATGCACGAATCAGCTCATCTGACAACAAGCTGCATGCGTGGCAGGAAACCACGGCGATCTCACTGGGCTGCAGGTCTCCGGCTTCTTTGTCCAGAAGTGATGACAGCCAGCCCGGACTCGAAACGTCCGCGATGTGGTACTTCACCGAGGCATCGGTCCCATCGGCCCATGCCGAGCGCAGATTCTCAAAGCTCGTCGGCTGGTACAAGTCGACCACGATCGCCTTACCGAAAAGAGAGAGTCGACATGGGATTGTTGTAACAAGGACCCTGAAAAAAAAACAGAGGATACGTAGCTTCCGCATGAAAAACCGGCGGATACTAGCACATTTCAGGTGACTCGATCAGCTCTCTTGTGTGCGAGGAAAACACACGCGATGCCGCCATGTCCTCCAGCAGCATCCACAAGAAGCTTCTTGTGGCCAAGCTGACGCTGACATCCACGAAAGAAGGCGATGCATTCCCTCACTTCTTTGGATCGGGGACGCGGGTTTCCCATGGAGTGCCATGCTCTCCACAGCATGAATTCGATCTTCTCTCGCTTTGTCAGATTATCTGGGAAAGTTGGAGCAGCTGAAGCCTGCACTGCCCCGCCGAAAGCTGCAGCTTCGGACTCACGCAATGATGCTGTTGGTGGCACATTCCTTGAATTGGTCGTGCTACCAGTAAAGGCAACAGCTGCAGAAGTCCATGCCAAGACCCAAAGCAACACGTGCCCTCGTCCACGGCGCGACTTCTCTTTAAGCATTGTGACCATGTTCACTGTGAGTGAAGTTCACTAGCAATGCTCGGCTCGAACGCCACCAGCACCGGTGGGCGCAAGCTCAAAATCCTCAAGAAGCCTGGTACTCTCGAGGCAAAGCAGCCCAGGCTCAAGCCTAGGCCGGCTCAAGCACCGCGGAAGCTCGGGCCAACCGAGAAATGATCAGAAAAAAAAGTGTCCTTCTGGTTTCTGGTGTGAAAGCTCCTGCTCCTGTGCTGAATACATGTGGCCGTACGGCGAAGGTGCGACCTTGCGAGAAACGGGCAAGATGTCAAACCCGGAAACTTCAATCCGGAAGACTCCAGTCCCTCCCGCACGCACTGCTTCGAGTTGGAGGCAAGACTGCTCAAGAGCAAAGGGATGTAAGAAAAAAAAGGATGAGACCTCAGGCTCACAGCGCGAGGTCCTCGCAGCAGATACAGCCCAAAAATCCCTGAACGCATCTTTGCTTCAAGCATCTCTCGCCCTCATGCAATTGACAAACATACTCGCTGTCTATGCCAAGGGCATCCAACAACCTTGCATATCCTCAGCACTCCATTTTCTTGCCTGCCCTGGCGACGAGTAGCGCACAGCTCACTCAACAAGAGGAGATTTCCACCTCATGCGACACACCCAGAGTCTAGCTAGCTTAGATAAGGTTTGCGATGCTGCGCATTGTGCAACATGTGCTGAACCACTTGAAGGAATGTCCGATAATGTCCGTCTAAGAACCACGTGCACGCATTGCGCTTGAAACATGCAGGAGCCCCAGCAATCTGCATGTTGGTCTTCGCTGCCCGCCTTGGAGTCCTTGTCAAGGGAGGCACCCAGGATTTCACCGCTGGATGTGTCCTGCTCACGCAGGCCGGAAAATGGGTGAGGGCGCAGCCGTCGAGGAGACAGCGACCGTCACGTCTACCGCCGTCACAACATTTGCACAGGGCAGCCATGTCACAGGATCCCGACCCCCCACCAAAGAACCCCCAGATTGAAAACCCAAGCTTAAGCAGGGTCTTATCTTAGACAAAAATCAGCAACGAGCTCCAATTGGGGAGCTTCCGGCTTCCAGCGACACAAACGGCAAACCAGCATCATTCATATTTATAGTGTACTAGCCTTTCTTCGGCCCTACTAAACTTGAACAAACTAAAACTGCCTCCTACCGGCTCTTCTTGAACACAATCACGTTGTGACTATCAGTTGGTGACACTTTCGCTGGTCCGAACCACTTTCTGTGAGAGACGTTTTCGATTTGGGAGGAGACTGCTGCGATGTTTATCTGCTCAGCATGATTCGGCATGAAGTCCTCTGGAGTCCTTTCTCCGCCTTTGGCGATGATGAGGACCTGGAAACGAATGGAACGCTCAGACACTGTCTTGAATGATGAGGGGGCTCCATTGCTGCCTGCGACGGAGGGTGTTTGGAAACGCATGCATGAACACGTGGGCCCAGCATCGAACAAGCTTTCAGTTCCCTGGTTGCCTTGAGGCACATTTCGAAGTACTCCCTGACCTTCGCGCGCCAATCCCACAAATGCAGCTAAGTTTGTGACTACGTGGCTGCGCAGAGAACAAACTCGCCGGCACACCCTGGGGCTGTCGAAGACAAAGGTCAGGAACTGCCTGAGCTGGCGCTGCATGGCGCTGCTCACTGCTTCTCTCCAGGGGCGGCAGGGCGGCCAAGGTCCCTGCCCTCCCCGCATCGTCAGCGTTGCCCGCGATTGCAAGCAGCCATCCTGCGGAGCTTCTGCAGCGCGAAAAGCCGGCTACCCTGCGTAAAGCCCGGATTTCGGATTCCTCTCCGAAGCTTGGTGTTGGCCACGTTGGCGTGGGGGGACAAATACCATCTATATACCTGAAATGGAAACAGAGTTCCTGCCACCTTGCGCTTTTTGTGGCTCAGGGCACTTTAGGGCCACCGGATGCTGCGCATGCGGAACGTGCAGGACCAGGTGGGTTATGTCCGAATCCAGGCGGGCCTTAGGACACTGCCAAGTGCTTCGAGCTATCAGACCGTGGCTCGTGGCGTCCCAGCTGAGGATGCGGACTTCCGCCAGGCGGGTTCGGTTATCATCCAGAAGGACCTAAGCAAAATGTCAGAAAAGGCGACTCCTAGTCTCGGACAGTCTCCTGCGGCCCTGCGGCTCAGCTGAGGCCAGTCACGCAAACATTGATGCCCTGAAGCAGGGCTCGGGTGAAGGATTGCACGCAGACCTGCATCGCAATCTTTGTGCCAATGGTTGCCCTCGTCCCTCCTTCCCCTCCTTCTTTCGCCCGGTTGTCTTTCTGTCTTGCGGTGGGACTGCAAGTAGACAGCAAGCTACCGAAGGGGATATCCTGGGGTTTACCATCAGAGTCTTTCTGCGGGCTTCTCCTCTCGTACTCTTCCCTTCTTCGCCCAGCCTTCGCCAGAAACGTTGGCAACCAGTTTAGTGGGTTCGAATCTCTCGCTGTCTGAGTCTTGCTGTTGTGCCATGTTGTGCCAGTAATGACTAACGGAACAGAACGCTTCCTGCTGGCAAAGCTTTCCATCCACCAGGGTTTCCTCGAACTTCTCTCCTTGGTCACAAAAGACGCTGCCTTGAGGCAGCGCTGCTGGTCATGCTTGTCCTGACAGTTTCGGACTCTTCGATTCGAGTTCTCGAACTCAGCAACAAGCTACACTGCCCTGCAGACCCGTGCGCGTGTGGGCAATGTTGCCATTGTAACTGTCGTAAGAATTCTTGCGTAAATCGTATTGAGCTGGAAGGACCAGCTCGCAAAATCAAAACATCCTGGCAGTAAAAGCAGTGTGGTGTCGATGTCCTTCCTTCGGGTGGGCTTCTGGCAACTGTACCACTCAGACCGGGAGGAGAAACTGGGTTAGCGTACAGTATCTGAAATTGTGACTTCTGAAGCCAGCATAGCAAATTACTGTACATGAAAGGAGTCTTACTGCGGTGAGAAATGGTTTCGGTCATCTGATGCCAGCCCAGGCACTCGTGCCGATGACGGCGAGTAGTTGCCGCTCACTGCCTGCATTGCCATGTTTGGATGTGCTCAACAAAGCACGACGACTTTCGATCCAACTTGCAGATCTTTCCAGCAAACGCTGCCAAGAACGCCAGCCGAAAACTCTTGCAACTGGTAGGAGCTGCACTGCACCACGAAGAAGTATACACATTAGCTCCAATCAAAATGTGCCTGAAAGACCTTCGTCTGCGCGCCCTCGAACTCAGGCGGCACCTGTCCAGGAAGTGACACACTCCAAGAGACAACTCCCCTGCATTTTCCACGCAAGAGGCTGGCATGGCGGGTGCCTGCAACCTGCGGAAGAGCGCGCCTGGAAAAGTCGGCTCTAACTCTAACCCACACATAGAACCGAGCTGGGCTACTCCATTAATTTACAATTGCGGGCAGACCTGGGTTGGTCGAAGATGGGCTCTCCACCTGAAAATGTCGCGAGCAGATTCTATTGAATCTTCGTACAGGTATATAACGGTAAAGAAGAATCCTGCCTCAAAGTCATGCTCTGCAAGGTGCGCCTCCGTTTCTCTGAATTTTCTACTCCGTAGTGTCAAGCTCAATCATTTCAAGCCGGTTGAACAGATTGAATCCGGGCAACTGCAAACCAGGTCTTGCAAAGTTTGGTTGCGTATGTGGGCATGCAAAGGCCCTGGCCATCTCCATCTTTTCAACAATCGCCTTTCATGAGGCAGGCCGATGGCAAGGGCCTTCGCCCCCACACAGCTCTACAGTTAAACGGATTATAATCGCAGAGGCAAACGGAGGGGGAGAATTATGACATGCACTGCTTCGACATTCGCCAGATCCATGATCAACCACATGCGAGACTTCTAGGGCAAAGCGCTCGGACTCGGCAGCAGATGGCTGGTCATTAGCACGTGCCACGTGATGCGCTCTGCCGACTGAGGCCAGGTCTGAGGTCAGGAGTTCATCGTTCTCCTGCATCAAGGTGGCAAACGCTCGCAGCGGGACAGGAAATTGCTGCTCTTCGACAGCTCAGGTAATATTCCAATCACATGCAAAAGAACTGTATGGAACTAGCCTGGCATTATCCGACGACTAAATACTAAATTGCTAGAGCTACAAAAGCATCAGGCATCCAGGAACTCAAACTTATCACACAGCTACATGGCGATTCATGAGATTCCCACGCGCCTTGCAGTCAGAGCACGCCGACGTCGTAGCTCTGCAGGCCTCCCGTTGCAGCGGACGGTCTCACATACCTAGCGGTAACTATTCGTTTCTTCTCCCTTCCACCTGCTTGCACGCAGTCCCAAAGCTTCGCGAGCCTCGCTGCTAAGCTTGAAAAAGTCCATGGCCGCAGCTCGAGTTGCATCGCCTGATTCCTACACGTGCGCATCCGTGCGTGATCTGGTCTGTGAGGGTCGGTGAGCATGAAGTTGTTGCGAAGTACGCACCATGTTCACCTGATGTGAAAGCAGTGGTCACATTGGACCCGCTTGCAGCCCCGTCCAAGAGCAGACAAAACAACTTGTGGTTTGGGCTGTGCCGCACATTGCCGACTTGACTGCCATGGTGTTCCTTCCCAGACAAATCTGTACTTACAACTGGGAACGAATGCATCTCTCGTACTGCTGCACATTGACTCGGGTTTGGCTGAATGCCTCTTTGTAACTATGTCACGATGTGCTGAATGAGTCAGAAACCGGTAACCCTCCTTGATACATGCAACCCAGTAATTCCACTGCAGACCCCAAACCAGGTGTGGTAGAACTCTGCCAAATACTGCTCAGGAACGGTCGGAAAGCAAAACTATGTACGTGTGCAGACATAAGGAGTTGTTGTGATGTGTCCGGATTCCCCGTGTCCGGGCGGTGGCAAGAGCTACTGCTCAGGTCTTGGTACTTCTTGGCGAGTCGCAGATGTTGCTGTCGCTGGGGCAGAGCAAGGCCTGACCTGTTGATTGAAGCTTTGTTTGTGCTGATGATTCACGACCAACGTGAAGGGATGTGCAGAGGGCCAGCGCATGCCAGCGCGTGTTGCAGTACGCGCTTCTATGCACCTGCCTTATCAAGCAAGCTGCTTGCGACAGTGCCTTTGTGCTCGTTGGAGATTGGGTATCGTCGTAGTCAGTACATCAGGCTTCTTCTGTGCTTTGCGGCGCTTTCGGCAGGAAGAAGCCAGGTTTGACTCGCTTTGGGGAATGTCGACAGGAATCCCGAGGAAGATACGGGCACGTTTACTCGAACAAGTTGCATGGGGTTCGGGGTAGTGGAACATGGTACAAAGGCGAAGCGGCAGCAACTTGAATTCGATCACACCAAATGAGGTAATGCAACATGTGTCGACTCACAAAGAACGTTCTGGCAGTGCTTTGTGCGGTGAAGTGCGTAGACGATTTCGCACAGTCGGTACGTGAGTCGCCAATAGCGATGGCCCACAGGTTAGGCGAAGAACAGAAACTGATTCTACTTCCTGAAGCTGCTCACGCGACAGATGGCCAATCTCAGCATTCAGTCCTACAAGACAGTGTCCGTTCATTATCAGCAGCTTGAGGAAAATTCTGAGAAACAACAAATTAGGGCTGAAGCTTCGGCTCAGGAAGCGGCCTGTCAGGCTCATGCACTGGCTCGCAAAGTCATGCTTTGGACACGCCCCTGTCTTTCAATGCAAGCCATTTGCTGTGCAAAACCTGCGGATTTGCCTCACCAATGGCCTTAACTGGTAAAGGCGGTGGGGCAGACTCCGGGCCTTGTTCTGCGGAGTTGCCCACGACGGAAGTCGCCACGGCTTTATCTAGGCGCCGAACCTGGGCGAAGTCTTGGAACTTCACCGCATGCAATGCTACCACGGTAGCACGGCGGAAGATTTGCACACCGTGCAAAGCAGCGGTGGAAACTCTGCAATCAAATGCCCTGCATTGGTTTAAGTGCGAAGCTGCTGAATCGCATCCTTGCGGCACAGAATCCAGGACCACGAGCATTTCAGCGCACCCCGCACATAGTATTCATGCCAAGTGCTGGTACGGTGTTGACCACTCCCTCACTGATTCGCTCTCCTTTCCGGTGAGCAAGTCTGCTGAGATGATTCCAAGAGCTGCGAACCTCACCAGGATCTGTGACATTGAGATCCAGGAGGTATCACATCACATCACGAGCCGTGAACTCCCTTCTGCCGTTTTAATCTCCGCTACTGCAGGGCTCTGCTTGACATTCGCAGGTCTCTTCGAGAACACACGAGGCGACTCTTCGAAAACTTCAGATCAGCCACTGCCTCTCTTGGCAGTGCGTGGCTGCTCCAAGAAAACGGCATCGCTGCTGCCTCTATGAAACTCCGAAAATGTCGGACTTCGAGAGGGTGTCACGATAAGGGTGAATCATTGGTTTCCTGCAGCGTTGTGACGGAAGCTGCAGCAAGTTGCGATGACTTTCAAAGTACACGCCGGTGCCTTGCGCTGTGGCTCCAGATGCACCAACCTCAACCAAGGTCCGAGGGGAAGCTTCGAGCACCGGAGTGGACAAACAGGCTGTCGTTGGCTCTTCCCATCTTCACAACCGCCCTACAGTAGTATCATAGTAACATCTACACACCTCAGTTTAGACGGCCCATGAGGCATCTTGAGGCAAGATCTGCAGCTCTAGCTTCCGAGGAGCCTTATCAGATGGCTTTGCCGCAAAGCCACTTGATGTTTGCGGACAGGCCTTTGACGGGAAGAAAGTGCTTCGAACCTGACCGTCACCAAGCCGACACAAGTCAGCTGCAACTAGTCGGCAGGAACACCCTCTGTGAGCCTTCTGGCCGAAGATAAGTTGTGTCACCTGGCTCTGAGCGAGGGGAGCTCAGGAGACTCTTCGAGCCGGAGCCACCCTCGACCAACTCGGCCACGACCCCGTGCACTCCTCGGGAGACCTTCGGCCAAACTTGCACAGGAGCGGATCATGTTCTCTATGCTCCTGGCCTGGCCGTTGGCGACTTTTGCCGACCAGCGCGGTCGGCTGCGGAAACAGGTGCCTTTAGGGTGCACCACCTGGCAGGCTGTAGCTCCATGAGGTGTAGTCTGAAGCTTGCTCAGTGGCAGCGCACCTCGAAGAGGAGCACTTGTTCGGAGGAAGGCAGCTGAATCATCGGCTGGGCCTCTTCCTTTGGTAGCAGCACCTCCGAAAGACCACTGCAATCGTATAACTGCAAACCGGAAGCCGAAACTGAGCTCTGCCCCTCTACTCGCGACATTCCGATTGTCACGGAAGAAAACCCCAAGACCAGTCTGCCGAAGGCTCCGCACATCCCACGAAATTTCAATTACACAGGCTCGACGGCAGCTTCAAACGATCGAGGGACGACGCTCCACAGACACAAAGACCAGATGAACAAGGATGACATTTCAGCGGGTCACAGTTTGTCAGCGGTCAGATCACACACCAGCAATTAAGCCAAAATCGACAATGGCTCTTAGACCTCAGCATTCAAAGCTGTGGCACACCTTTGATGCACGGCACACAGCAGCAACGGGGCCATTGACGGGCCTCGAGCTCCTCGACCTCAATCTTCTCCTCTGGCTTCTCTGCAGCCGCCACCGTGCGAAGCCGCTCGGTGTCGCGGCACAACAGCGACCTGCTGATTTCAGAGCCTTTCCTTCCGAATGTCCGTCGAGAGATGTTTTCAGCCATGGAGCGAATGTAAAACGCTGAGCTCTGGCCAGTGCAGAGGCGAACGGCACTCGGGGCAGAACACCTTCGACGAAACTTGTCCGGAACATCTTTGCAGAGCAATGCAGTCCGGCTCTCGAGTCGCGTAAAGTCGCCATGCGGCTAGCTTCGGCCTCTGCTTTTGAGACGCAGCTGGTGGCCCGCGCACACAGGCTCAAAGGCCTGGAATCGAAGTCGCAAATGCGGCTGCGATAATGCGATAACGTCTGCAGGAAAAGCTGGTGCACACTATGCTGCAGCCAAGGGACTCCAGCTGCTTTTCCCACTCCGTCCACCAGTAGCTAGATAAGCACGAACGGTGAAAGGCATGGTAGCCTCAACAGTCTCGCTGATGTGAGGAAACTTGTGTATGATCATGGCTGAAAGCTCGCACTCAGATGCGAGCACGGAGTTCGCTGCGCGGGATCAGCCTGCGCTCAAGAGTCGTTTCTGGTGGCTCGCAAACAGCACTGCCGTATCGGCCTCGTCCATATTGAAATCCACGAGGCAGATCGCACAGTCACCGCTCGGCACGTTCAGCTCCGTCAAGATATCTTGCGCTGCCTGAACGGGAGTCAAATGCGCCTTCCCGCACAGCAAGGCTATGCACCTTCCGAAATTCCACAAGCCACCTGAAGAAGCGCGTACAGCGAAGGCTGCCCGCACAGCTCATCAGACGCAGCTCTCAGCTGGGAGACCAAGCCTTCACTTCTTGAGTCTGGGAGACCTGGACATGGCAGGTAACCAAAGGCTATACAAGCTGTAGTGCAAAGCTGTACACCGTGAGGGCCGCACCTCGCGAAGAGCCCAATGCCAGCTGTACCGGCTTGTGGGGGTAGCCACGCGGAACGTCTAGCACCAGCTGGACTCGCACGAAGCGTGCATGATCCTCCCCAGCTGTGTGGGGAACCAGGTGTACAGATACTCGCGCGTGAATCTCTGCGGGGTCACCGTCCGGAAAATGAACGACGGACAGGTCGGACTGGCAAAAGATGGCAAGCCGACTGCCGCACGAGACCGAGCAGTCCCAAACTCAAGCAACGGTTCCAGCAGCCTCCTCCGGCCACATAGCTCTAAGCAGTTCCACCTCCTCCTTCTGGTCGGCGGCTGTGTGCAACGGCTCTCAAGTGCAGGTGACTCCGATAAGTCCTGGAGAGCCTCATCGAGGACCTCTGAGACATGCGATGCGAGGCGCCAGACTTCGGAGGCCTGGCCCTGAGGCAACGGCGCCGGAGCTGTACTCCATTCAACTCGCTTGGCCATGCCGGCTCATGGCTCAGACCCGGCACTGCAAGAGACTGCAGGAAGGTATTTTAAGCTCTGTGCCAGCAGGCTTTGCTAGGCGACTTTCTGCGGCAAGGGCATGCCAGATTCTTGGAGTTTGGAGTTTGGACCAGAACATGCAGCATCTGTCTTAGCGTCTGGAAAGCGACACGCAGCTGCAGCACAAAAAAGGCTTCTGCATGGCAAAACGTCCGTTGTTGATCTCCTGTCAAGCGATGACTTCTCCCCACTCCACACACCAGTAAACCATGAAGTCGTGCTCCTTGGCCCTCATGTCCTCGTTGTACTGGCCAAGGCCTGCAGGCTGAGACCCAGAGAGCCACCGACAGCGCCACGGCTCTGAGTGCCCCGGCCCAGGGGATCTCCGAAGTCGCCGGCCTCCTTGCTGGGATCCTGCGAGCTTCAAAGGGCGGCTTTCCTTTCTGAGCGCCCCCAGGGCCCACCCCAGGCCCGGAAGGTCCTGGGTCCAAACACCGAGCTCCATGGCCCCGCTCAGCAGGAAGAGGGCCTAGCACAGAGGCATGGAGCCTCGTGTCGGCCCCCGCTTTCTGAGAATGTCCATGCCGGGATAGGCACCACGAAGCCATATGTGCCGGGCCTTGGACACACCCTGAAACTATCTGAAACTCTTGCGATGCACTACGTATAGCAGGTGACAGCGGCGCATCTACCATGGCTTTGTGCCAATCCACAAGCTCGCACAGGACTTGTTTCGGACATGGTAACCTCGCCCTCGCTGTAAGTTGATTCATGACAGCTCTGAGATTCACCACTAGAGGCAATGGAGAGTGCAATGATGCTTCTATGTGATCGTTGTCGCAGGCGCATGTGTGCGACTGTGCTCAGCAGGGTGGGGCGTTCCGGGGCGGGGCCTGGCAGGGCAGGGACACACATGCGCAAGTGGACAGGCAACCACTGCGTAAGAGTCATGGTCGTGATTGGTCTAAGACTTAGGAGCCCAGCGCGGTCGTCACAGCTCCAAGGCCAGCAGGTACACCCTGGCGGCGCTGCCGTGTGCAGCATGGGATGCATGAAGACAGTCGCTACGTTAGAGTGACAGCATCACGATGATAGCCTCAAAGCCTGGGAACTTGACGTAATGCTGGACGACCTGGCCCAAACAAAGTTTTGGTCTTGAAGTGTCTTGCTACCTCACCATCGAATTTACTGATTTCTGCCGATGCTTTTTCGCACTCAAAGCTGCGCTACACCGTCCCTCGGGATCGCCCCCAGCATGACGGGAAGCTGCTGCATGCGACCAGCGATGAGCAGTACTCCATCGCGATCGCGAGTGCAAAGGCCAGAGCCTCGGAAGCCTCCAGGGCCAAGCCAAGTTAGAAGTGCAAAATTGTGAAGCTATAGCTATAGCTATGCCCTCCAAATCTCTCCGACCTTTTGGAAGTCCAAAGCTGCTGAGGCGACGGCTGCCTCAGCTGCCGGCCAAAGAGCTCTACACAACGGCGCCCAACAACAAAAACTCCAAAAAAAAAAGTTTTTTGCTCTCGAGGCAAGGCTCCAATGAAGTCCCAAAGCTCCAGTCGACCGCTTGAGACCAAGATCCACAACCGCCCTTCCTGGGAGCCACCGTTTAGAAGTAATTATACGACTCAGTGGGTATCTTTTCAATGTGCATTCCAAGCATCCTGAACGACGTCCAAATACACAGCATCCACCTGCTCAGGTGCTGCACTGGGGTCCTGGAGGTCCCGTGCATATAGCCAATGAAGGTGTGTGTGTGTGTGTGTGTGACAACAGCTTCTTCGTAGCCTGAGGACTCCTACTACAGGACAGTGCACAAACGCCCCAGTCCTGCTTGGAGGTTGCGTTCTTCAGCTCTAGCGTCAACTGTGAGCGAAGCGTCGGTCTCATTTTGAGAGAGCTCCCTTCCTCCTGCGTCCTGCGGCCGCCGAGACACAGAAACAAAGCCGCCACGGAGGACCCCTTCTTTCGTCCCAGAGGCCTGGTCCCGACGGCCGTCCTCGGCAGCACGACGGTTGCGAAGTGGATCTCCTTGCTACGATCTCCCAGCACCAGGAGGAGACAGGATCTGGAAGTCCTTAGCAAACTCTGGGTATGTTTTTCAACAGGAGACCTAGGACCTAGGAGGACCTAGGGAGGACCTAGTGCTTGTGCATTTCAGCTGCTTTGGATGCAGATCTTGCTCCAGCGACGCGCAGGGAACCAGCGACCCAGCCAGGAACCGGTGGCGACTCCCCACTGTAGCACCTTGGCCAGTGTGTCCAGTGAAGCCCGCTCAGGTGCTCAGCCCATCAAGATCCGGCAAGTCACCCAGCTCGACCGTGAGGGGGCCCTCGACACCGGCGGTGCGGTTCGCGTGAAGCAGGGTCAGCATCTCATCTCGCTGCTCGATCCATAAGCATTCCAGACTGCTTTTGTCGCACACGAGCCGCCAACTGGCGGGAACGTCCTCGAAGCGAACGCGTCATGAAGGTCAAGCTAGCATTTAGATTGCTCTGACTTCCGCACCCAGCTTGCTCTATCCTGGGATGGCATTTCCAAGAGTTGAATTGGGTCTTCCAAATCCTCAGCGTCAGCTGGCTCCCGGACCGACTCGGAAAAGATTCTTCTGGTCCAAACTATTCCTCCCGAAGCAGTCGAGCCGCCAAGAGCGTGTACTGAGCAAAGGTAGAGCCAACGAAGACCGCGCCATTTGGCTGGCACGACCTGCAATAGGGATGATGAAACCCCCGAGAGCATTTTTGAAAGTAGATGCGTCCGTACATTGACAGCAATCGCCCCGTAACAAGATAAGTATAACAACGATAAACATGTTAAGGGTCAAGCAGGGGTTTTCATTCACCCTGCAACAGGGCCTGCGAAATCCGAGCACACGGGAACTGTTTAGAGGGATCCAATCACTTGTCCGAGCAGCACAGCTTCTGGACTAAAGAACCGGCCATACGGCCAGGAAATGTTGAGCGGCTGGAAGACGAGATCAGGGACCTCCATGTCTCGTGTGTTTGACATGTTCCGGTCACCACACCGGTTTAGCACATACATCCAGCGACAACCTGCACAGCAGCGAGTCGTCGTTCTTCGACGATATGCGACCTCAGTCAATCAGTGGCACAGGCATGGCCCACAACTCCAGAATCCAGCTTCGCCCAACGCGACATGCAAGGCAGGCGAGCCCAAATGAGCGAAGGTGCACTTGCCAGTCAAAGATACGCGTTTTCGTCTCGCGAAGAATGGCTAAGATGCCCAGAGAAAGCCTGCACAAAACAACTCACTCAAGACAAAGAGGCGCTCTTCACCTGAACGTGTCCATTCTCAGATGCATCGGAGGCTCCAGACCAACTGGATGGTGCGCGTCACGAAGCTAACCAGATTCCACGGCAAACGGTTGACTTGGATGTTGGGATCGGCTTGGCTTCCTGAGGGCAGCGTGACGCAACGGGACACGGTAGTATGATCCATCTGAGGCCGCTTCGCTCTCCTCGTCCTCGCAGTGGGGTTTTCTCGTCCTTGGATCTTAACAATTGTCTTGGCACTTGCCGAAACCCGCACAAGAATCAATGTCTTGAGACATGTTTGGTAACAGGGGCACCTATGCGGCACCTTAAAGCTCTTGCAAGCTGAGCCGCTTCTCTCGAGACTCGGCTCCCTTCACCGACATCCTGTCATGAAAGCTCCTACTTGGGACGTGCCCGATTCCAAACTGCCCCAGGCTCACCTGGTCCGAGTCTTCACTTCGATCGGAAGTCTCATCAACGGTTCCTTGCGGACGTTTCGCCACTACGACAAACGGAGATCTGCACCACTAACTTCGACGAGGCTCCATGTGTCATCATCTCAACCTTGCGCTTGAACTCCTTTGGTCACGGCGGAAGCCGAACGAGACGCAGGACGTAGAGCCTAGTACTCCGAGCCGCCATGCAAATGGCCATAGCACTGTCTAGGTCCAGAATGTTGTCGCTCGACGGTCTGTCCAACAGGACACCTGCCGGGAATGCTACTAGTACCATGCGCAGGCGCACAATGAATAGGTACGTGCTCGCAGACCGGTGGATTGAGCAAGGCGCCGTTCTGAGACCGGTATCGATTCTCTATGTCGTAGAACCACCTTTGCATGGCAACCAAATCGCGTTTGCCAGGCCATACTAGAGACTGGTCAGACTCGCGATGCAAAATCTGCCCAAGGCACGTCGACACCACCCCAGTGCCAAACCAAAACGAGAACGGCCCAAGGACCTCAAGGACGTTGCAGCCGCTGCTTGAGCAAGATAATGAAGCCAACAACGAGAAGAACAGTCTTCCCAACCCACGGCAGTCGCGTGCGATGATGTTTGTTCAATGAGGATTTGATGCAAAGCAGAGGGGGGGCTTCTGCAAGAGCGGGCTTGTGCAATTGAAGCTGCTGTGCCATAGAAAGGATCCTTGCGCCGTTCAGCTGTAGGGAACTCTGCCCAAGAACGGTCGTCCTGACAGGAGCTGTCCAGATCTGCCAACACCGTAGCAATTCAGATGGATGCGCTTCCAGTCGCGAAGCTGCCTCCACTGGAATTGGCATCTCAAGCTTCTCCATAAAGTCCACGAAGGCATCGGCTGTGGCGTTGTAACCTGGGCCGAACAAATCCAGGTTGGGAAGAGAGAAACACAGACAGACAGAGAGAGAGAGAGAGAGTGCAACAGAGTGAGTGGAGTGGAGTGGAGTGGAGTGGAGTGGAGTGGAGTGGAGTGGAGTGGAGGGGAGTGGAGTGGAGTGGAGTGGAGTGGAGTGGAGTGGAGTGGAGTGGAGTGGCGTGGCG